TCCTCTCTGTAAAGAATGTCTTCCTAATATCTAACCTAAACCTCATCTGGCAGAGCTTGAGACCATGCCCTCTTGTCTTACTGATAGCTACCTGGGAAAGAGACCAACCCCCACCTGGCTACAACCTCCTGTCAGGGAGTTGTAGAGAGTGATGAGGTGTCCCCTGACCCTCCTCTTCTCCAGGCTAAACAACCCCAGCTCCCTCAACCTCTCCTCATAGGACTTGTGTCCAAGTCCCTTCACCAGCCTGGTTGCTCTTCTCTGGACCTACTCCAGCACATCAATGTCTTTCCTGAACTGAGGGGCCCAGAAGTGGACACAGTACTCCAGGCATGGCCTGACCAGTGCTGAGTACAGGGGAAGGATCACTTCCCTGCTCCTGTTGGCCACACTGTTCCTGATACAGGCCATTGGCCTTCTTGACCACCTGGGCACACTGCTGGCTCATGTTCAGCTTCCTGTCGATCCAAACTCCCAGGTCCCTTTCTGCCTGGTTACTCTCCAGCCACTCTGTCCCCAACCTGTAGCGCTGCAAAGGGTTGTTGTGACTAAAGTGCAGGACCTGGCACTTGACCTTGTTGAACTTCATCCTGTTGGAATCAGCCCAATTCTCCAGTCTGTCCAGGTCCCTCTGCAGAGCCCTTCTGCCTTCCAACTGATCAACACTACTCCCTAGCTTGGTACAATCTGCAAATTTGCTAATGGTGGACTCAATCCCCTCATCTAAATCATCAATAAAGATATTTATAGGCTCAACACTGAACCCTGGGGGACACCACTTTTGACCAGTCAACAACTGGATGCAACCCCATTCACCAGCACTCTCTGGGCCCAGCCCTCCAACCAGTTTTTAACCCAGTAGACAGTGCACCTGTCCAAGATGTGGGTTGCCAGCTTTTTCAGGAGTATGCTGTGGGAAACAGCATCAAAGGCTTTGCTGAAGTCCAGGTAGACCCCATCCACAGCCTTCCCCTCATCTACTAGGTGGGTCACCTGATCATGAAAGGAGATAAGGTTGGTCAGACAGGACCTGCCCTTCCTAAAGCTGTACTGGCTGAGTCTGATCCCTTGTCCATCCTGTAGGTGCTGTGTGATTGCATTTAGGATGATCTTGCTCCATAACCTTGTGTATCATGGAATGTTGATATTTTTTGGTCTGTGTTTGGCCCAACCACCTGTGAAAGTCTTGTTCTTTGCCTGCCAAGTTCACTGATAAACAGGAGCTTCGTCCTTGGAGAGACAGTTTCTTGTATAAACTGTTTTAATTGGTGTTCTGTGATTGGCTCATTGTCTGTAGAGCACATTTGAAGGAGAAACTGAAGAGGAGAGGATGAAGTAAAGCCCTCAGACCCAAATAGATAAGAACCCTTGAGTGAAACAGCGCAAGTGCAAGGGGAATTCCAAAGTTCTCACACATGCACTGAAGGGGTACACTTACATAACAGGGGGAGGGACCGAAGGCCTCTAGCTGGGCAGTGCTGGCCACACAGGCCCAGGTAGACGTCACCGGCTAATTGGATAAAAAGTGCAGGTGGCTCGTGCTTGGGGCTCTCAAGCTTCCCATGAAGGACAACGTTACCTTTTGCGGGGACACCCACTCTTTGTGAACCTGCTGACACTCTGAGGATGCAACCTCTGCTATGGGGAATTCTGGTTATTCTGGGGTCGGTAAAACACACCTGCGTGAGTGGGGGTTTCACTGAGGGATTAGTCACTCCTTTCCTGTCTCTCGGGTTCCTGTTAACTTGACCATTTTTGTAATAAATATTGGGTTTACTGCTGAGTTCTCAGCAGAATCTTGGTTTTCAATCTCAACATCCTTCTAACTCACCCCGTTACACCTTGTCAGGCACTGAGGTCAGGCTGACAGGCCTGTAGTTTCCCAGGTCCTCCTTCTGGTCCTTTTTGTGGATTGGTGTGACATTCACCAACTTTCAGTCATCTGGGACCTCCCCAGAGAGCCAGGACTGTTGGTAAATGATGGAGAGTGGCTTGGTGAGCTCTTCTGCCAGCTCCCTCATCACCCTAGGATCTGGTCCCATGGACTTGTGAGGATCCAAGTGGCTCAGCAGGTCACTTACTGTTTCCTCCTGGATTACAGGGGGGCTATTCAGCTTCTTATCCCTGTCTACAAGCTCCAGAAGCCAACTGTCCTCAGGACAACCTGCCTTACGGTTGAAGACTGAGGTAAAGAAGGTGTTAAATACCTCAGCCTTTTCCTCATCTTTGATAACTATGTTTCCCGTCCATGACCAATAAAGAGTGGAGGTTTTCCTTGTCCCTCCTTTTGCTATTGATGTATCTATAGAAAGATTTTTTTTCTATCCTTAACAGAAGTGGTAAGATCGAGTCCAAGTTTTGCCTTTGTCTTTCTGATTTCCTTTCGGCAAGACCTAACTATATTCCTAAACTTTTCCTGAGTAGACAGCCCTTTTTTCCATAATCAGTAGGCTCTCTTTTCCCCCCTAATTTCCTTTAAAATCTCTCTGTTCAGCCAGTCTGGCCATCTTTCCCGCCGACTTGCCTTTCGGTAGATTGGGACAACCTTCTCCCGTGCGTTCAAGACTTCTTTGTTGATGCATGTCCATCCTTCCTAGGCCCCTTTGTTTTTGAGGGTTGTTTCCCAGGTGTCCCAGTTTAACTGAGACAAGGGTCTTTTGCTGAGGGTGAGTTAGGAGAAAAGATCCAAACTTCTCTCTCTAAGCAATTATAAATCCAAAATGAAAAGACTCCGATTGAAGGAAAAGAACAAATTATGGAAAAGGAAAATAACAACCCTTTATTAAAAGTATGTGTGTATTAAAAAAAAAAAACAAGTAAAACAACCAAACAACACTTCTATACCCACAAATAACCCCTTCAGAAACAAAACTGATAAACTGGCAAAAGGAAAAAATAAACAGTTCAATTTTTTGTGCCTCTTGGTGCAATTCCAACCACAGTCAATAGGGGACGCCGTTGGGTCACTGGAGACACAGAGTTTGTAATATCCTATAGCAGTCAACAGGTGGCGCTGTCGGGTCACTGGAGATGCAGAACTTGTAGTGTTCTATGGTAGTCACCAGGTGGCGCTGTTGGATCACTGGAGATGCAGAACTTGTAATGTCCTGTGCCCGCCACCAGATGGCAATCTGGGGTCCCTGGTTGCCGCCACGTGGGGGGAGGGGAAGGAAAGAAAAGAAATGCCCTCCGGGATGTGTCGGAAAAAAAAAAAAACCCAAAAAAAACTCGGTCCCCCTTCCCTTCCCACACACCGGGAAAGGGAGAAGGGGGAGGGGGAAAGGGACCAGGCAGACCCTACTTACTCCAGCTAGTCAGTCTCCTCTCCACTCAGTCCTTTCTCTCTTTCTCTCCCCCTTGGGAGCTCCTTGCCCAGGGAATGGTGAAAGGGAAAAGCAAAAGAGGGAAAAAAAAAAAGAAAAGCCTCCAGGGGAGGGAAAAAAAACCCACAGCAGCTCCACTCCAATGAAGGACAAAGGCAGGTTTCCAGCTGGCGAACCACAACCGGTCCTGAGCAGAGAGCCCAGACCGCCCCCAGCCACCCCTCCCACCTCCTTCCAGTCACATGGTAGCCCCCCCAACTTCTCCCTCTCGTTGCCCAGGAGACGAGAGAAAGAAAACAAAAGGTGCAGTTCCTTATCTGCCCCATTCCTAGGAGACTAATCTTTCGACCATTAGCCAGGCCAGCTAGCCTTTTGTACTCTTAAGTGCTTATCTTGATAGTCAGGGGGAAGGGAGAAAATTCTTTGCCCAGTTTACAAGAGCTAGCTAAACCCACGACACCAGGGTACACTCTGAACTAGTCTTCTGAACAGGCCAAAATCTGCCCTCCAGAAGTTGAGCGCAGAGGTTTTATTGATGGTCCTCATTGCATCCCTGAGTATTGAAAACTATTATTTCATGGTCACTGTGCCCCAGATGACCTCCAACCACCACATTTCCCACCAGCCCCTCTCTGATTTTTGAACATCAGGTCTAGTGGGACCCCATCTCTGGTAGGTTCATTTACCAGCTGGAGCAGGAAATTATCCTCCATACACTCTAGGAATCTCCTAGACTGCCTCTTCTCCACTGTGTGGAGTTTCGAGCAGACATCCAGTAGCTTAAAGTCACCCACAAGAACAAGGGCTGGCGATTTTGAGACATCCACCAGCTGCTTGTCAAAAAATTCATCACCCTCATCATCCTGGTTGGGTGGTCTGTAACAGAGTCCCACCAGGATATCAACCTTTTTGGCCTTCCCCAATTTTGATCCACAGGCATTCAACCTTATTGTTCCTGACTTCAAGTTCTACAGTCAAGAGACTCTCTAACATACAGAGCCACCCCTCCACCTCTCCTACCTTGCCTATCCCTTCTGAAGACCTTGTAGCCATCCACGTCAGCACTCCAGTCATGCGAGTTGACAGAATTGCAGGGAAAATGCTCTCTGCTTTCCGTCTCGCCAGGACGGAGTTGCTGTGCTATGAGTCCAGGTGCAAGATGCAGCAAAGAACCACATGGCACACAGGTAGGCAGGTAGGAGGCAAAAAGGGTTTATTCAAGTTTCCCGCGGCTTCTAAGGATGCTGGAAAGAAGGGAGGGGCTTGGCTACTCAGCCAGCCAAGGAGAGGGACCGGGAGGTTAATACCCAGTAAGAACCCAGGAACCGGGGAGAGGCAGGGGAGACAGTCAATGGGGTTAGGATAGGGGCGTGGCCTGGCTCTGGGGGCAGGACAGGAATGGCACTGCACACAGCCGACCGTGTGGAGACGGGGGAGGGAAGAGAGGTTACATAGAATAGGATGGCCCGGAACAATGAATTCGTGATATGAAGCTTTTCTGTGCTGACTTCAGGAGTTTTCTTGGGTTGCATTTGTTTCTCCTCTATGATTGATGTTTCCACTGCATATATTCCACATTGTCTCCCACAGCAAGTTATCCCACCATGTTTCTGTGATGGCAACTTGTGATGGTTTAAGGGAAAACCAGCAGGAGAAATTAACCCAACTCAAAAGAGATTATAAGTCAGAATTACAATTTAATAAAATAATACAATAAATACAATTATACAGATGATGAATTGGTTTTAAACCACAAAAAGACCAGATGTATAACCTGGTACCCTGGGGTACGAACAGAATGGTGTTCATTGGCCCCCGTGCTGAGCCCCACGTGGGCCCCCTGCAGTTCAAAAATAAAAGGAGAGGAAGAACCTGTTGGTGCAAGCGGTGGTTGCAGTCCAGTTGAGAGCAATGGTTGCACTCTGGTTGAGAGTGGTAGTCGCAGTCTGGTCAAGAGTGGTGGCCCTCCTCTGGATCCCACGAGTGGTACCAGAAGTCCCAAGACCCTAAGATTATATACACTCAGGTTCAGGCAGGAATGCCCAGCGTCTCCCCCAGGGCAGGGAATTCCACAATGGGTGACTGTGAGTTGTGGGTGGACAGGAACATCCTTTTCTCTCACAGGCCTCTTAACACCCAGCTTATAGCCTGAGGGGTCAGGTGTGCCCTGGGCAGTTGCTGCAAATGGTCTATTGTTAACAGTTTCTGGGAAATGACATAGAGGGTTTAGAATACACAGTTTGGGTTGCACCCACACAGTGATGAACTGGTCCTGGCTGCTTTAACTAGGACATTATCCATCCCTTATTCTATACCACCTATGTCATGCCCAAATTAACACCCTTTAAAACTATATACATATATATTTACAATGAAACATTACAGACCATTCTCACTCAAAATTAGGTCCCCTTAGGTTACACAACATGTTTCCCCATCTTTTTGCATTATTAACCAAATAAAACCAGGTCTTGTGCAAAAACAAGCCCTGCCAGTTGGCCTTACTTCATCACTCTAACCATCCCCATAGAGCATTGGCTACCATCCATGAGTCAGTGTAGTGATAGAGTCTTGGCCATTTCTCTAGTTTAGCAAAATCCAAAACCAGCTGAACAGTTTTAAGCTCTGCAACCTGACTTGACCCACCTTGTCCTTCAGTCACTTCTACAACTCGCCGTGTGGGACTCCATACAGCTGCCTTCCATTTCCGGTTTGTCCCTACAATGCGACAGGAGCCATCTGTGAAGAGAGCATATTGTTTTTCATCTTCTGGTAGCTGGTTATATGGTTGGGCCTCCTCAGCCTGTGTCACCTACTCCTCTTCTTCTTCAGAGGATAGTCCGACACTCTCACCTTTGGGCCAGTTGGTGATAGTTTCCAGAATCCCAGGGCAATTAGGATTCCCTATCTGGGTTTGCTGTGTGATCAGAGTGATTCACTTACTCCATGTGGCATCGGTGGCGTGATGGTTGTAGAAGGAGTTTTTCCTTTGAACATCCAGTCCAGCACTGGTAGTCTGGGTACCAGGAGGAGCTGTGCTTCAGTGCCCATCTCTTCTAAGGCAGCTTGAACTCCTTCATAAGCTGTCGTGGGTTGAGGCGGGACACGACACAAAACCCTTGTGGATCCAGAGGCTGGAACACTTTATTGCACGATGTCTGCTACTTTTATACACTTTTTAGGCTACACATGTCAACTCTCCACTGGTTCCCACATACATAAATATTCTTCCATTGGCCACTAACGGTGTTATATAACTCTGCTTACTGCACATGTCACGAAACACATTTTGCTGTGTTCAGCACATTTTACCGGAAAACCATATTGTTACAATTTCCGGGTCCAGGCGTAATTCTCCCCTGAACAAAGGTTCCTGCTAACTTTAACTCTTCCCGAATCCCCCAGGCCAGCTGGGGGAGAACCACCACAATAAGCAGCCAGGATCTCTTCCTCAGTTGGGGTATAACTGGTTTCAGATCCTTTGTATCCCCAACTCCAGAATCCCAGTAGTCATCCACGTGTCTCCCCAGGCACTTTCTGCCAGAGGCTCTAGGAAGGGTCATTCTCCATGACTGCAGTGTAGAGCAAGTTCTTCACATCCTGTCCTGTCCTGACTGGCCCAAGGGCTACTGCATGGGCAATCTCCTGTTTAATTTGTTCAAAGGTCTGTTGTTGTTCAGGGCCCCAGTGGAAATCATTTTTCTTCCGTGTCATAAGGTAGAGAGGACTTACAATCTGATTGTACTCAGGGATATGCATTCTCCAAAAGCCCACGGTGCCTAGGAAAGCCTGTGTTTCCTTCTTGCTGGTTGGTGGGGACATGGTTGCTATTTTGTTAATCACCTCTATTGGAATCCAGCAGTGTCCATCTTGCCACTTCATTCCTAGGAACTGAATTTCCTGAGCAGGTCCCTTGACCTTAATGTTTAATGGCAAAACCAGCTCTTATGAGAATCTGGATTATCTTCTCTCCTTTCTCAAAGACTTCTCCCACTGTGTTCCCCCATGCAATGATGTAATCTATGTACTGTAGATGTTCTGGAGCCTCACCATTTTCCAGTGCAGTCTGGATCAGTCCATGGCAAATGGTGGGACTGTGTTTCCACCCCGGGGCAGCTGATTCCAGGTGTACTGCACACCCCTCTGTAACACACAGATAATATAGAAATGCCAAAAATTATGTTTTGCCATTGTTCTGCCTGTCAAAAAACTTCCTACCAAAAATTGTCAGCTCTCTGCCAGAAGTTCTCACCAGGACTTCCCACGGGACTTTTCCTGCCAAAAGATTCTGCCATTGTTGAAGGTTATCATATCTCCTTGGATATCTGAACTGGTTACGTGCCAAGAAACCACGTACAACCTCCTTTGAACACTGTAAAACTCGAGGACAAATTTTGGAAAATCAGGAAAGAGGAAAGGGAGAGAGAACTGGTTGCCCCAGGAGTCTCTCCTCACCTCCCCTCACCTTTTCTCCACCATGGTTTGCTGCCTACCTGCCATGGGAGACTGAGACTCTGCCAGCCTGGAGAGAACTGAGATCCACCGTGCTGCATGCGTGAGTTATATCTTATCCTTCTAGCCTCACTATATTCCTGAGGGCCAGGGAGTTGCGGCTGAACGGGACCCTTCTACGGACTGGGACACCGTTCATCAGTGAGCAGTGAAACCTCACTTCCTGCATTCCAGAGGACTAAAAGTGTTAAACCACCTGCATCTAAAGAGATAACATCAAAAAACGGCAGAGACAGAAAAAAAATGGCAGAAAACTGTTTCTCTACCCCCCCTCCCCAACCTGGCAGAAAGGTAGTTTTCAGTGGTATCTTTGCTTCTAAAAAAAAATAATCTTAACATTTTCCAATCTTTCTCTTATTTTTTAAGTGGTACCCCTTCTGCGCATGCATGAGTGCATTGAAACTTCTCCTGTGCCTGCATGCTACACATTGGGAGTCTTTTCTAAATGAGTCTCGGGGCTTACTTCATCCTTCTCCTCCTCTTCACTTTCTTCTTCAAATGTCCTTGGAGGGTCGTCAACCAATAGTCAGACCCAAATTAATTGCAGTTTATACAAGATACTTCCTTCAAGGACAAAGTTCTCATTTATCAGTGCTTGTTTGCACATAACTTGGCAGGAAAAGAACAGATTCTTGCATGTGCCTGGGCCAAACACAGACCAAAAAATAACAGCATCTAATTAAGCATGAATACAACCATCCCTGGAGGTGTTTAAGAGATGTCTTGATCTGGCACTGGATGATTGTCATGGGTGGGAGTGGAAGGCTTAGACAAAATTTATTAAAAAGCCCTGCCATTGAGTCACGAGGTGCAGAAAGGACTCCCTTGCTTTCTAAATCCCTTCTCAAAGAGGAGTCTAGGTGCAGCTAAATCCAATCTTAGCTTCAGATTATCTCAATGGTTTAAATTTAAGGGATTACAGAGGTATGATTGAATTACTTTTGTCCCACGGGTTTTAATGATTGGCAAAATGAGAATATTTATATAAAATTATTCATTTATTACTAAAAATGATCAGACAAAAGATCTTTACCGAAATTATTTCCTACACAATATAAATGTTAAAACTACTAGTAGTATAGTATAAGATAGGATAGTGCACTATATTGTAGCAATTATTGAAACAATTGAATTAAAGTTAGCAAAAAGAAATAATTATTAAGTAGAGATTTGATGTAACTCACCCATACCAATGCTCATGGGGACATCTCTTTCTCTCAACCTGGAGGGTATCCCCCCCAAGGGAGGAATCTACACACACATTTCAAAAAGGGATATGTTAGAAGACCACTGATACCTTGGAGTTTTGATGTTTTGATTTTTTTAATTTTTGTAGATCTTAGAAGTAGTTATGTAGTAAATGTAGATTTTAAAGTAGCAGCATATTATCCCTTTACCACACCAGCTCAAACCCCTGTTACCCATCCCCTATCAATTCCCTAAATTCCACAGCCTCTTTAGTCTCTTTTTCAAGGTAGAATTGTAGAAGAACACCCTAACCCTATGGAAGAAGATACAGCCATAGACTCAACAACCTTCAGGCCTAGGACTCTGGAAGGCCTCCAAGGACCTTACGTGCTCTGAGGAAGATGAAGAAGAGGGGGTCCCAAAACACCCCCAGACCCAATTTCCAAGAGGTGTGGCAGGGGCAGAACCTGGGTGGTGGTAGGACGGGGATTGGGTGAAAATCATTATAAAAACTGTGGACATCTGTATTTCGGGAGCGTGCGCGATGGGGTATTCCAGAAAACCTGGGGGCTCATTAAAATTTTTGTATCGTTATCTTATCTCCTACCTAATTTGGTTTGGAGTCTTTTTTTCCCCACAGACATTTAGGCAACAGTTTTGGTGACTCCGTACAGGGACTTGGGACCTGTGACTCCTCTGGATCGATATTCCATTTTGCAGGGATTTCTTCTTCGGTCGGCATATCTTGAAGAATTCCTGCTCTGATCTTGGGGAGCCCAGCTTCTCGGAACCGCACACGGAGGAGGTAAGATAAAGAACAAAACTCCTAGAGAATTTTTATTAGCAGCTGCGGGAAGGAGTTTTCCCCAGGGCTAGGGAATACGGTGAGACTGGGAAGGGAAACTTGGACTTGGGCCCTAAAAGTCAGTGTTTTCCCAGTCTGTTGGCAAAGGGCTTTTTGCCGGAGTGGGCAGGAGAACTGCCTGGAAAGTTTTAGTTAGGGCAGGCAGGAGGATTTTGGGTTTCGTGTTGGCCAGGTGTGGTCGCAGAAGGGGGGAGACGCCTCCCCCGGTTGAAACTCTGTGTTTCTGCCTGAACCTGGTAGTGTTTGGATACAGAGTCCGCAGTGTGTGTGTGTGTGTGGCTGTGAGTTCTAGGTTAGATCTGTCGTTTTCCTCCTGTGTTGTTTGTTAACATGGGATGTACACAAGCTAAAGAGGAGATTCCAGAGGGAACCCCTCTCGCTTTGGTTTTACGGTATTGGGATGATTTAACTGGTCCTGAGACATCTTTAAAAAGGCAGAAGGTAGTTAGACTCTCTATGGATGTCTGGCCCTATACTGGACAAATTAGAGGAATAGCCTGGTCAAAATTTGGTTCTTTTGAGGCAAATACAGTGCTTCATCTTATGACAATCCTTCATAAGGAGGAAATGTGGTCTGAGTTGCATTATGCAGTTATTCTACCTTTTCTTAACCCGTCCAAAATTGAGAAAGGCATATAAAAAGGACAAAGTTCAAATAGAAGCAGAACTCACAGAAATGGCATTAGAGGAGAAAAAGAAAAATCGTGCTAAGCATGATCCTAAGGAGGAAATTAATCTTGAAAGCCCTGGAAATGAAGATCTGAACCTCTTAATTCCCCCAGATATGAGAATAACAAGCCCAGGACCTTTCCTGGGTCCAGCCGCAGGTGCGGGGGGCGTCGGTCCATTAGGAGCGGGGGTAGCCCCTGGGGCGGGTCCTGCCAGCTCGGCAGGGACGGTTGGATCTACAGTGCCGGGTCCAGTTGCTTCGGGGGCCCCGGGGGCAACGGTGGGACAAGCTGGGACTGCTCCGGGAGGAGCGGGGGTCCTGGGAACTGCTGTTGGTGCTCCGGGACCCGCGGGGTCGGTGCCGGATGTTCCAACTGGCACAGGAGTGGTGGGAGCTGGGACGGCCTCTGCCCCTGCTGCGCCGAGAACTCTGGTACTAGCCAGACCGGCGGTAGCCCCTTCCAGAGCTGTGGAGTCAGCCCCTGTCGAGGCCACGGGGCCGGTCCTGTCTGAAGCTGCGAGCTCCCTAGGTGTCGGTGATCGGGCAGCGATCGCCCCTCCTAAGGCTGTGGGACCAGTCCCGTCTGGAGCTACAAGCTCTGCCAGTGTCAGGGTGGGGGCGATAGCCCCCCCCTGGACTGCAGGGTCGTTCCTGGCCGGGGCTGCAGGCCCTTTTGGTTACGGGGGGGGTGGTAGCGCCTCCCTGGGCTGTGGGGCCAGTCCTGGCTGGAGCCGCAGGCTCTACCGGTAGCGGCGGGGGAGTGCGGTGGCCCCCGCCGGGGCCGTTACAGGCAGCGCGGGCTCAGTTGCTGTGGGAACAGGAGGCTCAGACCTCAGCACTGCGAGAGGAGGAGCGGGGGTGGTGTCTGCAGCCGGGGTCCCTGCCCCGGCTGACACGGGACCCTCCAAATCTACCATGAGGGGCAGGGACGAACCCGCCCCTATCCCGTCGGCACCACCCTATCCTACGGGGGAAGGGGGGAACCAAGGTTTAGAATTACAGCATCGGAAGAGGAGCAGATTAAAGTTTACTGATACAGGCACAGAAGTTTCTAATGATATGTTCTTAATAAATTCTTTAAGGGGGAGGGAATAAAAGTAATCATCCTTAACACTAAATATATAGAGGCAACTACCTTTTTCATACAGGAGAACCACGGAGAGATCCCCGCAGAGGTTGTGTCCCAGTTTAAATGAGACAAGGGTCTTTTGCTGAGGATGGATTAGAAGGAAAAGACCCAAACTTCTCTTTCCAAGTAATTATAAATCCAAAATTAGGAGGCTTCGATTGAAGGAAAACAAATTATGGAAAAGGGAAAATAACAGCCCTTTATTAAAAGGTATGTGTGTATTAACAGGAACACGAAAAAAACCAAGTAAAATAACTAAGTAATACTCCTATACCCACCAATAATCCCCTTCAAGAACAAAACCGATAAATCGGCCAAAGGAAAATAGTTCGATTTCTTGCACCCTTTGGTGCAGTTCCAACCACAGTCAGCAGGGGGCGCCGTCGGGTCACTGGAGATGCAAAATTTTGTAATGTCCTGTACCATTCACCAGGTGGCGGTGTTGGGTCACTAAAGGTGTGAAAAAAAACTTGTAGTGTCCTATTGTAGTCACCAGGTGGCGTTGTTGGATCACTGATGGAGTAGAACTTGTAATGTCCAGTGCCCGTCACCAGGCGGCGCTGTGAGATCCTTGGCTCCCACCAGGTGGGGGGGGAAGGGGGAAGGAAAACAACAGCAATAAAACAGAAAGTTCTCCCAATGGAAGAAAACTCACAAACTTCAGCTGATTAGGGTCTGTTGTAAGCAGGGCTTGCAGCCAGCCAGAGGTGAGCCAAGAGAAGCAGCCAGAAACTCCCCTCCGACAGGAAAAAGACAAAGGAACCCGGCAGTGTCTGCAGCCCGCAGCAGCCTCTCACCCCGGCAGAGAGAGAGAGACTCTCCTCCCCCCCCAGCCTCCACCCCCTTCCAGTCACACACCAGCCAACCCCCCCCCTTCGTTGTCAAGGGAACAAATCTCTTGGCTATTACTGGGCCAGGCCGATTCTTTTGTTCAACTAAATGGGCAATATACAGAGCACACACACACACACACATGGCAGAGGGAAGGGAAAGAAAAAATTCTTTGCTAAAAATCAGAACTATGACAGGTTGAGAATGCTGTGACCCCTTAAATGTGGACTAACAAATATCCTGGGAAGTCCAAGCGAGCAGAACCCGTAAGCATCACACTCAAGCCAGGAACAACACCGGTTCTACTTTACTTTTCCAAGTCCTGCTGACTTCCCTCACTGCTGTCAAAGTTGCTGGCAAAGGACCCTGGTTTCATTACTCCAGAGTGAAGAAAGCTTCAATTCCTGGAACTATCAGCAAATCAGAACCCAACTCAGAAGAAGAGGATGTGGCATAGACTGTTTCTACTTTACATTTTATCTCTACAGTCAGTAACTATGAATTAAGTTTGGAACCTAATTTACATTAAGTTTTAGTAAAATGCACTTAATATTCTTTGTGAAAGTGAGTGCTGAATTTGCACTATGATTTGGCTGCAATTCGGAATCAAACTAAAATTCTACATCAGGTATCTCTGGACAATGTCTCACTGGGTTTGGGAGACACTCTCCCCAAACTTACTTCATAGCTACCAAACTGGACGTGGATTAAACAACTGTTTCTATTGGTAATGTACATAGTTAGTGTTTGTGTAATAGCTTATTGCATGAACCAATGTTATAGATGTTGATCATCTTTTTGAAAAAATGATTAGATGTAAGGAGTAGAGATTGAACAAAATTTTTGAGTTTTGTCCAGTCCCTAAAGGGGGGACTGATACCTTGGAGTTTTGATGTTTTGATTTTTTAATTTTTGTAGATCTTAGAAGTAGTTATGTAGTAAATGTAGATTTTAAAGTAGCAGCATATTATCCCTTTACCACACCAGCTCAAACCCCTGTTACCCATTCCCCTATCAATTCCTGAAATTCCACAGCCTGTTTAGTCCCTTTTCAAGGTAGAATTGTAGAAGAACATCCTAACCCTATGGAAGAAGATACAGCCATAGACTCAACAACCTCCAGGTCTAGAATTCTGGAAGGCCTCCAAGGACCTTACGTGCTCTGAGGAAGATGAAGATGAAGAAGAGGGGGTCCCAAAACGCCCCCAGACCCAATTTCCAAGAGGCATGGCAGGGGCAGAAGCTGGGTGGTGGCAGAACGGGAATTGGCGAAAATCATTATAAAAACTGTGGACATCTGTATTTCGGGAGCGTGCGCTCGGGGTATTCCAGAAAGCCTGGGGACTCATTAAAGCTTTTGTATCTTTATCTTATCTCCTACCTAATTTGACTTGGAGTCTTTTTTCCCCACAGCCATTTAGGCAACAGCTGTTACACCAACAGGACAGGTTGTGGTCACACTCCCACTCCTAAGGGAAATAGCTCTACAGGAACATGAGGCTATCCACTGGGGAATAGAGAACCTTCTCAACCACCTAAAGAAGGTAGTGATAGGGACAGGTATGACTGAAGTCGTGCAATCCATAGTGAGTAAGTGTGAAATCTGCCAGCAAAACAACCCGGATACAACCAAGAGGGTTGTGCTAGGAGTGACAAAGGTTGGAAACCTTCCTGGAGATTACTGGCAAATAGATTTTACTAAGTTACCACCGAGGGAGGGGTACAAATACACTCTATTGCTGGTTGACACTTTCAGTGGATGGCCTGAAGCTTACCCGTGTCGCACTAACACAGCAAGAGAAGTGGTAAAAGCTTTGCTTAATCACATAATTCCAAGATTTGAAATTCCTCTGGGAATGTCATCAGACAGAGGGACACATTTCACAGCGATAGTGAAGGAGGTGTGTCATGTCCTAGGAATTGTTTGGGACCTCCACACTCCCTATAAACCTCAGGCAAGTGGCAAAGTCGAATGCAAGAATGGCACTCTTAAAATGCAAATTGGCAAAATTTGTCAGGAAACATCCATGTCATGGGTTCAGACTTTGCCTCTGGCTCTGCTGAGGATTCGCATCCAGCCAAGACGGAGGGATAACATAAGTCCTTATGAAATATTGTATGGAAGACCATACCAGACTCCGCACATTCCAGGGGACATTCACATGAGAGGGAAGGTTGATTTACAAAAGTATTTAATTGCTTTAGGCTCTACTTTACAGAAACTCCAGAAATTCATCGAGTTTTCCAGGCCCATAGGATTGGACACCCCTGTTCATCAATTCC